AGTTATTTTCAAGTTATTTTATATGAAAAATCGTATGGAATTAAAAAATAAAAATTACATATTTAAAAACCACATGAAAAGATCTACAAAACTAGAAGTGATATGACTATTTTATTTTATCAAATGGACAACGAAAATATGCCAACAAAGTTAAACAAGAAGGAAGATTATTATTGGACGGCGGGAGTATTGTGTTACTTTCATTTTCTAAAAAATTACCATCCGGGGTGCCTTTAATTTTTTTGTAATGACACCAAGGTAGACCTAGCAAAACAGAACCGGAATCGATTACCCGAACCGAAATATCCGAAATCGAAACCAAAATGACCCAAAAAATGAAGATCCGATCTATAAACAAAAACTCAAAATGATCCAAATCGAACCGAAACCGAACTAAATAATTCATATCCGAATTAAATCCGAAACCGATTAGATCTAAAACCTATAATATTCAAACCGATTAAACTCGAAACCGATTAGATCCGAAACCGATAATACCCGAAACCGATTAAAACCTACATCGATAAATTTGGAACTATGTTTTCCTTTCAATAAGCATATTATATTTTTAAATTTGTAGTTTTATTTTACCATTTGAACTAATTACATTACTTGCTCATTTCCTCATAAAATGGATTATCTTCTTGAAAAAAGTACAAAATTTCATGCCTTAAATTTATTATATGTAGAAATTAAAGATAAGTTATAAATGTAAATGATAGCGCAGAAACAAATAAAATTTCTGTAATTTTTAAATTGTGAATTGTGATATTCTTTTTGAGACGAAAGGATTATATGATGAATTTTATGAAATAACTAGATTTTATCTTGATTTCATCCCATTACAATAAATTTTATTGATTTGAGAGTTAATTTGATTAGTTTCAAACCAATTCACTCAATATTAGTCAATAAAATTAGATGTTAGTATTAGCATTTTGAAAAGACTCTCTAGCGGCATCATTTAGTGTTATCATTTTCAAATTTGATCTACATCATTACATTTAGGTGTAAAATTAATTATATTTGAATCTATTAAATTTAATTTAATCTATTTTCAAGCAAATACACTCAATAATTTATAAATTTTGCACTCAATTGAATAAAATTACTTAATTTCACCCAATTTTACTCAATTTTTTACCAAATTATATTCAAATGAAACATAACACTATTTGAATTCATCTCTTATCTTTTCATTTATAAACATAAGTATATTAGTAGATGTGAGAAAAGTTTGATATTCAAAACTAAATTTTAAAATCAAATTAATTATATTAAATTTATATAATAATTAAATATATACGTTTTCACAATTTATAGTCCTAATTTGTAAAATACGACTAAAAAGTCAAAAAGGGAAGATTATTTAAGGTAGAGATAATATAATTAGAAAAAAATATAAAATAATATGAGGTATTGAATTGATGATAGATTGTTAAATGTGATAAAACATAAAAAGAAATATGGATAGTTAAATTTTAATTAGAAAATAATATATATCCAAAATATATTTGATCCGAAACCGAAATATATCCGAACCAAACTACACCCGAAACCGAAATATATTCGACTCAAATTGTAGCTGAACCGAAATCTATCTAAACCGATTTATAACCGAACCATATCTGAACCGACTCGAAACCGAATTGAGCCGAAAAATGTATCGAACCGAATCAAATCCGAACCGAAATTTAACCAATCCGATCTGAACCGAACCGATTATAACATATAACTGAAAGATATCCGAACCGAAAAAATCCAACCCGATACTGATCCGATTGCTACCTCTACTCCAAGGTCCTATATTATCAGAAAATATACTCCGTGGTACCCTTGATTTTCTAGTAATAACTATCAGATTCCAAATTATTTGAAATATACTAGGGGATTCTTAAAATTAGTGGAAATGTACTCCTTGGGTACATTCTGTCTATAATACCAATAGGATTAAAAATTTTGATACTTTGACAAATACTGAATTTTACCTTCATAATCATTATTTTAGTAAATTTAAATAAAATTATTTAGTTTCTCAAAGTCATTACCTAGAAAATCGAGGATCCTCTAGAGTAATTTTTTATTCATTTTCTGACTATTTTGTTTCCTATCATTCATTTCCTATTATTTTTTTGGGGAAGGTTCAAGTGACATTGAACCTTGATGTCATGGGATGACCTGGGGGCGCTCTAGTGCCCCGTTCGTAAAATTGACGGTTCCTACCCCCCCTAACACCCCGGTAAACCCCCCCACCCGGCCCCCCTAACACCCATGAAAGATTTTTTGTGGGAGGCAGCAAAAGCGACCACATATGCTACAGTCTTAGAAGCTATGAAGAAGTTAAAGGAGGCCGATGGGGATGCTTACTCGTGGTTGCAAGACAAACACCCATCGGAATGGTCTAGGTCGCATTTTCATATTATCCCAAGGTGTGATATACTAACCAACAACATTTGTGAGTCATACAATCGAGTGCTTAGAGAGGCTAGATCTCTAAGCCTTATTCAGTCTTTGGAAAAATCAGGGAAACGATTATGCAAAGGCTTTTTGTGTTGAGAGAAAATGCTGAAAATTGGAAGGGTGGGTTATGTCTAACAATATTGACAAAGCTAGCCGTTAATTCCAAATTGGCAGGGGGGGTATAACGCTATACAAAGCACGAAACACTTATTTGAGGTCAGGGGTTATAGAGGAGAAAAATTTGAAGGCCATGTTGTAGATTTATTTGAACAAACATGCACGTGTAACAGTTGGCAATTAACGGGAATACCATGTAAACATGGTGTGTGTGCCATTTGGCTCCAAGAAGACCGTAGCAGGAGAGATGTCGATGATTTTGTGGACGAGTATTATTCTCTTGACACGTACAAGAAGATATACAATGGGTGCATCAAACCTTTGAGGGGCAGAAGTGAATGGGATGACGACATCAGAGAACCATTATTCCCCCCTGCATAGTTGCAAAGGTTGGAAGGCCAAAGAAAACAAGAAAGAAGAGTGTCCATGAACTAACAAAGGATGGTAAAACATTGAATACGAAGTTAGTGAAAAAAAGGTGTACGAAGTGCAAGGTGGTTGGACACAACAAGAAAACATGTCCAGAAGATCCTCAAGCCAAGGCTAGACAGGTGTGTGTATTTCTATTAAAATTCTTTTAGTTAAAGTTGGTGCTAAAAACTTTTTTTGGTTATGGTTGGCGCTTTTTCTATATACTGCTTGTTTTAACATGAAACTTCTTTTCCTTGTTTTATTGTGAATGTATTTATAGACTCAAGCAAAAGAAAAGAAAAAGAAACAACTTTGCAGAAGAAAAAGGGCACTTCAAAGTGTAGTTTGTGTGGAAGAAGCTTCATTAAATGTTAACCAAGCTGCTCCAACTTTAGCTCTTGTCCAAAAAGCCTGTGACACTGTTGGAGTTGTGCCCTGATGGCCAACTGTTTATCGTTATTCTATCATAAATAGGCAGATATAATATGTTTACACATCTCATGCTAATGTAAATAAATATTATATTCCTAGATTTATATTTAAAGATGTTAATCAGATAGTGTTATTCTGCTGATGAGACTAACATCTTGAAATAAATATTTATCTAAATGTCCATAGTCGAGTATTAACGAGAGTGGGATATCGTTAATGCATGTGAGACTAGTGTGTGTTGATGTTTGACTTAGTCTCATAGTCAATGACAGTGTGTTCGCATCCGCACATGGGCAGATATTATCTGGAGATAATAGGATGCCGGACTGACCCATCCTAAAGATGTTGCTTGAACTTTTAGTTCATGCTCTAAGCATCTTTAGCGCGACCACGGGTGTAACTATCCTTCGACTTGAAGTATTACGTTTTCTGCATATGTGAACCCGCATACTTTGATGCATCGTCCTAAGCCATATGAAATAAAGATGGTATACAGGCTTTGTTTTGGGTATGCCGCAGTGCGTATTCAGAAACGTAGATTACGTACATAGGATTTGTCACTACTCTTTTATAAGAGATTAATGTCTTATGGGGCCCACTGATAAGTTATGATTGAGGAAATTGCATGGCCATGCTGAGATGTTTTTATGACGTTCTGTTCCTATTAGTCAAACTTGATAAATCAGTGAATGACTTAATGGATACAAGCTGGATTTTATTAATCCCTTGCATTAAGTTTAGACATTGAGACAAAGGGATACAGTTACACGGAGTTTGAGTCGTGGAAAAATTTTGACGGTGCAAACGTCTTAACTTATAATCTGGGGGACAATAATGTGTTGCTAGATACCGCTTATTGTTTATAGTATTGGTGCAGAGCCAATACTATGGCCAGCTTTATAAGTGCCTATACGGGTCACACACTTTGGACAATTTAAGGAGTAGGATTAAACAATGGGATAATAAGTAATTTGTATATTTGTAAAAAAAGTAAAGTAAAATATTTTGGAATATAATATTAAATATATATAAATATTCGGTTATATATATTATATATATGCCGATTAATATATATATATATATATATATATATATATATTATATTGAATATTTTATTTTGGTTTGTCATTTTAATTATGAAAATAATTATCTTGACATAAACTATTTAAAGTATATTTTTATAATTGTTTAAAAATGATATGGGTATTTTTATTTGATTTAAAATATAATTTTATATTAATTTTTGGTGTCAAATAAAATACACTTTGAACATTTAAGTGGAGAAAAATTTTAAAAATCCTTCTCAAATCAAAACATACGGCCATATCAATTAAAGGTTTGAAAAATTTGTTTTAACTTTCCTTGATAGATAAATTAGTGGGCTAATTGTTTTGTCATTTAGCTAATGACAAAATTAATTAAACATCTTTGTTTTATTTAAATATAACACTCCATTTGCAAATTATTTTTGTTTTTGGGTGATGGGAGATTCGGCCATACCATTTCAAGAGAGAGAATATATTAGTTTGGTTCCATTAATATCATTTTGTGTATAGAAAATATCTATAATATTTTCTAAATATTATTAGAAACATTTTCTATAGAAACATACAAGATTATTATTATCCCAAATTTTAATCTTTATATTTTATACTACTATAATCTTTACTAGCATAAAGATTGTGGTAGACTCCGGCGTTGTTCGTGTGTCAAAGTTGGAGACCGGACGCTTGAACGGTTACGTTTGCACTTTCAACGCTCTTCCTACGACTTCTTCGTTTTTACCGCTTACGGAGAAAGATATAAATTTCTTATTTACTATAAGTTTTAGTACGTGATTCTGGGCAAGATAATCATGTTACGATGTTAAAATTTTTATATTCCGCTGCCTATCCTTGCATGGTTACCTTTCAGACACAGATTTTGAATTCTGGGAAGATGCAAGTAAAATGGCAGACATGTACTCTCAAAGAGATGCGACATTGCAGGAAGAAAAGAGCACGACATGCCATCCACGTAGTGCATGAAGCGAATGGGGAGATGCTGAAGATAGATGCATTTTTTGGTTGTTTGCTTCTTTGCAATCTGCATGTCAATAGGCACAGATGCCAAGATATACTTTTTTGGGTTTTGCTTTTTTTTACAACTCCAATGCTATTAGGCACAAGAGATGCCATCATATGTTTTTTTGTTTTTGATTATTTAGAACTTCAATGTTATTAGGCACAAGAAGATGCCAACTTAATTTTGTAAGAAAGTTATTAATTAGGCAGCAAAGAAGACTAGATTTGCTTCGTGCATAAAAAAGAGAAAATGAAAAATGAAAATGAATGGAGGTAATTTTAATTAGGGTGGCTAGATTGACAAAGGAAAAGACCAATTGATGACACGTATACAAAAATAATGAAATTATTTAATGAAGACCTAACTGCAGTTAAAAAAGGACTTTCTTGAGAAATTCTTCTAATTATAGAGGACTATATTGGTCAATACTACTCCCTCCGTCATATAATGATCTTCCCGGTTCGCAAAACGAAGAAAAATCCCAAGTTTTTTCAATCTATTTTATTTAAATATTGGTATAGAGATAAAAAATAAAACATACATATTTAAAAACTACACCAAAAGTTCAACAAAACAAGTGGTGACAAGAATATTTTATTTTATGCCATGAAAAAACACAAATAAATATAAATTCCCGTGAAGTTGGAATAGTGCTCTGGAAAGATCATTATAGAACGGAGAGAGTATTTAAAAAGGACTAAATCTAGAAAAACCTTATGATAGAAGACTATTTTGAAAATTTAGTGTTTAAAAAAGAAAGCTTCCCGCTCCATAGCTTTTTGTGGACAAGAAGACGCAATTGACAGCGACCGGAGGAAGAAAGCAAAATCTGGACTCGCATCTTTTTCATACTCTGGTATAATTCAAGTTAAAGCGGCACATCATCACACACCTATTCTTTACTTGCTGGTTGAGAAACCAAAAACCAATAAAGCTCTCCACTCATTTGCCTCCTAAGTCTGCAAAGTATATCCGCCGCTTGCTTATATATATATATATATATATATATATATATATATATATATATATATATATATATATATATATATATATATATATATATATATATATCCATGGATACGCACTGGATTTCTGATGCCGCCGATGTGCATTTGCTCTTTCATCATCATCATCATCATCATAGCATCATCTTCAATCCGACTCTCTGGATTCGGAAACTGAAGAAGAGGGGGTATATACACAAGTAATTTCTGTCTTGAATCGTGGTTTATGTCATTAAGGCATCATGGCCAGTACCAGCGGTACCAAGCCTGATTGGGGTTCTGGGCGATTGTCCAGGGCACCCACCATGGTGGAATCTGCGACAGGAGAAGAGAGGGTACCCTCCTCCCTCCAGTTCATTGTTCCCCTACTCCGCGTTGCCAATGAAATCGAGAGAGAAAATGAAACAGCTGCTTTTATATGTAAGTAGGCTTTCCCCTCCCGCTTCCGTCTGTAATGTCCCCTTTTGGTACTTGTAGTGCTCGAAGAGCTGGTCAATGTAGCCTCAATTAGTTAATTACTTCAACGCCCCAACCATTGCTTTAAAATTTTGAACCTCCTGACCTAATCAAGTAATAATGAATCGAGATAACCATGTATTCGAGCATAAGCATATAGGCTTGGGACTTTTTTTTAAGAAATCAAGCAATAGTTCGTCTCATGTCAATTCATCCTGGCTAGCTTTTTTCGTGACAAATACCAAATTGTGCAAAGGCTTCTAATTGTGCAAACTTGCCAGGGCTCTAGCTACTTGTTCCATGGCTAAATGCAAAATTAAAAGTTCTATTTTGGTTTGAATTACGTCTAGTCACATGATTGGCTTTTCGTCTTAAATAAAGTTAATGGCATTTTTAACGATATAATGATTGGCATTATGAGGGACATCTAAGAGACGAATTTCCAAATCAAGAGACATCAAAACAAAATAATTTATTTTAAATTGATGATAAGAATTAATGAGCCGTAAAAAATTGTATATCTTTAGTGCATCAAAGACTAAAAGTCTTTCAAGAATGAAAGATCAAACAATGATTTACAGGTTGAATAGCATTTAGTTACATTTCAAGTGGTATTTTTAAATCCAAACTTGGTTGATGTCCTACATTTTTTGGACACCCTCTTATGTTTGGTGGTCCTGCAGAATGAGAACTGACGGACTGTGGAGTAACTGTTACTTAAATTAATTATTCATCAATAATTTTTTTTGAAGCGGTGTTTTTGTGAACTTCTGATGTTCACTTCATGGTAACAAAGTTTGTGGTAGGATGCAGTAGTTATCTGTTGTAATGAATATTATGTTCTTCTATTACTAGTATTTACTTTATGAATAGGCCGGCTGGTGGCTTTGGACAAGGCTAATAAGGAGGATCCAAAGTCAACTGGACGCGGTGTTCGTCAGCTTAAGACTTACCTGCAAAGAAGACTAGAGGGAATGGTATATCCATATTGTTCAACTATATGTTTGTCTTTTTATGCATCATCTTATGTCAGTTATATGTGTATATTTTACAATATTCTCAGTTTTCAAATGACGTTTAGCTTCAAGCTTATTTAAGCAATTTATTGATAGCCTATAGTGCATGATTGTATGGTGTCTCGCACTCTCACTATTACTAAACCCTTATAGATTACCACAATAGCTGTAGCATGCATGTTTCATTCGTGCATGCAGTGGCCTGCACTGAAATGTTACATGTTACAATTAAGATTGCTATTTCTTGAATAACAAAATGTTACATGTATGATGTGGCTGTTGTTAAAAAACCGATAATAAAGATATATAAGGATACTACTTAAAGAGAAAAAAGAGTCACAAACACCTGTTATTTTGACAATGGAACTCATATATACCTGTACTATATATAGATATAATAAGTGTACAAACATATTTACATGTGTGCGTACATATAATTATATATAGGTAATAAGTGGGGGTAAGGTGGGGTGGGCTACCCCTTAATCCCCTTTAAATAAACCACTGGGTGGTAATGTGGTTTGGAAGTTGGCGACAACTAGTTGTCTAAAATTAATTAATACTTTAGTTTCATGCAAATAATGCATTGTGGTAAAGTATTACACTGAATGCCCTCGTGTCTCAACCTTCTAACAAAAGAATAGTGATAAATCCCCAAAGTGAAATCACCAAAGACTTTTTTCCACTTGTGTGGAAAATATCATGACTTGATGGTGAGTTCAGGTATTTGCTACAATCATATCCCCTACAAGATTGATGTTGTAAACTGAACATGATATTCATATGAAGTGACCATTTATCTTCTCACTTGGAAGCTGCATGTATCTGACTGCCAAAACCTCGAATATCAAAAAGATTCATGTCATCTGCAGGAACATGGTGACTTACAGTATAAAGGTTTTGAAGAGTTTTTCAAGAAGTACTATGAGGAAAATATTAGAGATGGCCATAAAACCAAAAAACCGTGAGGCTTGATGAACAATTCACTTACAGCTTTGTTTGTCATTCTAATCTAAATTCTTTGTTTATAATAAAAGAGTTCCCATTACAGAGAAGAGATGGCGAAGATATGCCAAATTGCAAGTGTTTTGTATGACGTGCTCAAGAATATTACGAAAGATCCTGAAATAGATTTGGATGATGTGGTTTGTTCTCTTTACTTTGTTTAATTTTTGGTACATTCATCCCTTGAGTTTAATAAAACACTTGCTTATTTTCGAACCATACTTGCAGACAAAGATATATGGCAATGATGTAGAGGAGAAAAGAAAACAGTATGAGCACTATAACATTCTTCCACTTTATGCTGTTGTGCTAAAACCAAGGATAATGGACCTACCTGAGGTAATTTCTCATTGGGTTCTAAGCTCAGTATATTATACAACAACCGAGTTGGATCCCACGTAAGTTGGGTTTGGGGAGGGTGTGTGTACGCAGACCTTGCCTCTACTCTAAAGTAGAGAGGCTGTTTCCAAGAGACTCCCGGCTCAAGCAAGCTCAGTATATTATAAGTTTAGTAACTACATGGGGTTACTATTTTCATTTTCTACATATGTAGCTTTGTAACTCAATTGTTCATATACACCACACAGTCACACACATAAATCCAATCCCTCATTTGGTCTTTCTTAAACAGATCAATAAATCACTTACTGCCTTCAAAATGTCCGACAACAAGGATATCCTTAAATGGCTGGCACAGACCTTTGGATTCCAGGTAGGCTAAGCTTTGTTAATCACTTCTTAGACTTATTCCTTTAAAACTTGTATTGCTGGTTTTGGCACAATTAGAGTTTTTGCTAGTTTTCTCTATCCAACCTAATGTAATTCATTTTAGAGTTCGCCTCCTAAAATCCAATCTTGTAAAGGTCAAAGCACTGCTACCATCAGAGCAGTATTCTCTCTATTATGCTTCGTACTTCAAGTTTTTCTAGTTACATGCTACGTAGTATATGTTAATTTGTTTTTTTTTCTTATTTTCTGTCTGGTTACCTCTCTGGAGTGAAGGATGGAAATGTAGCAAACCAAAGGGAGCACTTAGTACTGCTGCTTGCTAATATGGAAATCAGGAATAAGAGCTCAGATAGAGATACTCATACAGTAATTTTTTAAAATATAATTCTTTAGTTTCAAAAGGATTTATATCGAGAGTTTCTTCCAGTTGTGTTGTACCTTGAGTAAAAAATTGTTATGCAATTATTCATTGCAGTTCGGGATCACGGTACAACAACTAATGGACAAGATCTTTAAAAACTATGAGTCATGGTGCAAATATTTGCATCGCCCATCAAGTATCAAGTAAGTTGTGTACTTGCTAGAAAATACCAAGTACTAACCATTTCTTATGTAGTTAGGTTTTCTGACGCAAATCAGTGTGAGATGGCATCCTTCAAAGACTGTAGTATATCCCTCCGTGCTAAACATTCATTTACATTTCTTGCAATGTAGATCTCATGAACTTGGTGAATGGCTGCATCTTGAAAAGCACCAGGCTGATCTTGTTTACATTGGGCTTTATCTTCTTATCTGGGGTGAAGCTTCAAATATCCGATTCATGCCAGAATGTCTCTGCTATATATTCCACAAGGTAGGTTTGCCTTTTATGCTCAGTATTCCACAAAAGCAATTACAACTGTAAATAATTGTGCAGATCTGTTCACTTCACTTGATGATACTGATACTTTGATGGCTTAACTGTACTTGATGATAGATGATATTTTTTATTAAAAAATAAACAGATCAACGTCTTAACAGTTTCTGTATTAAAAATCTGTTACTTTATGCCAACCTGAGGTGTGAGGACACAAATTTAAATTTTAGTATTTCATGCAACTATTACAGGACTGTTTCAATCTGTATCGACACTAACATCCAAACGTGTTATTTTTATGTATATACATCTTCCTTATTATGGAAACTGTTATTCAGAGTATTTTACTTAACATCCCATATACAAGTGAAATGTTTTGTTGGTTGACATCCAGTGTAAACCTTTATGAAAGGGCACCAAGTATATTGGGATTTTTGGCCTGTTTGGTTTGTATTTTATACCTTAGACGATGACAACCTGATTTGGAGATATCAGAATGTATTGGATATTTGTTTTATGGATTGGTTGATTTTACAATCTAAGAGTATACGGGATGGATATAAAAATCTCAAGATGCAGTGGACTGAAAGTTGTATACTATGATGAATTGAGTTTTTCGGAAGTGTTCTTGGTGTGCTAATTTGTTACTTTCTAGTACACGCCTACACGGGTAAAAAAGTTCGATTCTTTTCATAAATGTAGATGGCTGAAGAGCTTAATGAGCATTCATCGAGTAATGTTGATCGTGTCAGTGGTGGTACACAGCAGACTGTGCCTCATGGGGATAATGCATTTCTGATGGATATTGTTTCACCCATTTATGAAGTGATACAGAAGGTAAGTTCTATTATTGTGCTATTGACTATTACTTGCGGATCTTTTACAAAAAAACTGCAAATTTTGTTGGAAAAGGAAGCCAAGAGAAACAAAGGAGGGAAAACAAGTCATTCAGCATGGCGAAATTATGATGATCTGAATGAATACTTCTGGTAACTGCACATCATTTGAGTTGGCTCTATTGTCCAGTAAAACTCGAATTGTAAATTTATATTTCAAGTTGTTGGGACTTCATCAGGTCTGATAAATGTTTCGAGTTGGGATGGCCAATGAAGCAAAGTGCAGATTTTTTTGTGCGCCCGTATGATAGTCGTAAATTAAATGCTGTAAGTGTGTATTTTATCAGTATTTAAGTTTATATACATGAATACACCATACTTATAGTAAAACTGTCAAAGTAACATGTGGAGTAGTCTACTACTACTGGAATTGAGTTTGGGAATATTGCATAATACTCCCTATAGTGTTGTTTTCATGATCAAAATGCAAATTCCCTAATTTATAGACAGAACCATGGCTCAACCCATAATCCATTTATAAATAGGTGTAAACCTTCATTAAGAGGGTTAGGACTATCTCTATATTCCACTATCCCTCTTAAAGTCGAACAATTTTTTTTCTTTTATCCTTTTCACACCCCTCCCCCCTCCAACGGGTCCTCCTAAGGGACTGGAGAGGATTTTTTCACCAATAATATGATTCCAAAGCTTCTCTATTTCCCCCTTCGTTTCCTTTTCTTGTTTGTCATTTTCTATTTTTCTCTTTTCTTCACACACCCAACAACAACCCTCTCCCCCCTTCTCCCATTGGTCCCCGCTTGTGAGTAAAGGCATTTTTCACCACCAGTCTAAACCCTATCCATTTTTCCTCACTGCATTGCCATCCAATTTCCCTTTCCTCCTTATCCCTCTATATTGATCTCTCTCTCTCTCTCTTGCTCTCTCCCACTAGTTCTTTTTCATGTCTAGATGTGTTATGTCATCAATAATACAAGTCTTAATCCTTATCGTTTTCCTCTATTCACTTCTGCTTTAGGAAAGCTTAGGAAACTTAGCATAATGAATCAATGATACACAATTACACATACAAAAGGTCAAAGACAGTTCTTTCATGGAAAGTTAATTGAAAATATATGAGCTAATCTTGGGGTTACAAGATTAAATTACTATTACCATCAATCCTTTATTTTCTTTAGATATTCTTTCATATTTTGTAAATTATATCAACCTATAAATAACTATCATCTTTTTCACCAAAAGTAGATGTGTAACATTTTTTAATTAAGCAATAGTAAGTTTAGACACTATATATTCTTGGTGAATGTGGTTTCACCCCATCCTTATTCTTCTTCTTCTTCATTTGAATTAGGAGACTCGTTCTTTCCCTGTCTCTTTACCCTAAGTGCAATTAAGTCAGCCAATATCAAGTTACCATTAGATTGTATTATTGTAAAGCACTATCAAGTTAAGTCAGCCTAATTCAAAGTGCTGTTAAGTCAGCCAATATCACGTTACCCCTATATTGTATCATTGAATAGTCATCCAAAGCCTCATGAGTGATTTTAAGAACCAACACATGGTTAAATGTGAAAAGAATGTAAAGTGGATCTAGCAACATGATGAATTGACCTTATTCATGAATGAATATAAGGGAAATTAAAGGGTTTGATCATATGCCTTTTCAATGGTGCGTTATTGGGATTTGGCTTGGACTTAGGTGGTTGGTCCAAAAAAATAGAAGTGAGTTAGATGACATATATGGTTATGGTCTTGGTTAAAATCACTAGAGCAAGGCATGTGAGGATGACCCAAAAAAATATGGATGAGATTCAAGAAATGTAAACCAAGAATAAATTTGTGGTCTAAAAGTGAAATATCGACTAGATGGGGGGCTAGGATGCATAGTTTTCCTTCTAGATGTCAAACACATGCTTCCTCCGTTCCAAAAAGATTGACACACTTCACTATTCAAAAATCACAAAAACTTTTGTTTATTTGTGTGCTTTCATTGATTGGTTGATAAAATAAAATATTCTTGTCACCTTTTGCCTCGTAGAACTTTTGATGTAGTTTTTAAATGTGCAAGTTTTATTTTTATTTCTATACCAATCTTTAAATAAAATGAATTGTAAAAAACTTGAAATTTGATTTCGTTTTGCCTTAAGTGCTGATTGTTTTTGGGGTGGAGGGATAATGCAATACTCCGTAGTGTTTTTGGGGGGTTGGGAAAAGTGATCAAAAGTGGTTTTCACATTCCCATGAACAAGACCCATGACATTGAGGTGAATCACGAACAAGGCAGTCACACTAAAATAAAAGGGAATTTAGGTTGAACAAGTTGTGATTATGGGAGTTGACTTTTAACAGAGTGCAGTATTTGTTTTAGATAATGTTAAGGAACACATGTTGGTGAAGTAAAATTATTATGCAACATACTTTAAGCACAACATACAACAACAACAACAACCCAGGTGAATCCCACTACAGTAGGGTCTGGGGAGGGTGTGTGTACGCAGACCTTGCCCCTACTCGGAAGTAGGGAGGCTGTTTCCAAGAGACCCCCGGCTCCACCTGCACAAAAATATGGAAGGGAACACAGTATAACACGGATAAAGCACCAAGTACAAGTAACAAGTACACGCAATAGCAAAAGATTCCAAACAAACACAACACACTACAAAACAACCTCTACAGCACCGAGCTCCTATCCAGCTACTCAAATCCTAGTTCTCCAAAGGTTCTTATCTAAGGCCATATCCTCAGTCAAGGTGAGAAGTCCTAAATCCTGCCTAATCACCTCCTTCCAATTCTTCCTAGGTCTACCTCTTCCCCTACTTCCCCCGATAACCGTAATCCTCTCGCATCTCCGTACAGGGGCGTCAGCATCCTGCCGTCTCACATGACCAAACCATCTCAACCTCGCTTCCCGCAACTTATCTTCCACCGGCGCCAAGCCTACCTGACGTCGGATAACTTCGTTCGAAATCCTATCCAATCTGGTCTTTAAGCACAACATCTACTCCATAATGGTAAGGAACACATGTTGGTGAAGTAAAAGTATTATGCCATTTTGACCAAGTGGTACGTTCTACTCTTAATAAAATTTAGAGCAAAAAATATGTTAGCAATGCACAAAATTGTTTAAATTCTCTCCCATTACAAACTAGAATGCACTTTTACATTCGATCCCATTGCAATATTTGAATACAAGAATCAAGGGCACATCAAGCCATTGCCACTCTTATGGTGGAACTCATGTGTGCATGTGTGGGGCTCACATTCAAATTTTGTTTCTCTTACAATTCAAAGTCTCCTAAAATCACAAGTACGAGATCTTTGGACAAGTCATTGGGCTTATTACGGCTCATGGTAGAGTCGTAGAGACAAGCCACATTAGGCAGGGAGTTTGCCGATGGTCTTTGTGCTTGAGCACGAGTCAACTAGCTTGGCCTTTTATTTACTTTGGGTAGGCTAGCAGGACATGTTCCTAGTTGGGGTGGGCCGGCCTTCAGTAGTCGTGGAGGGGTGACATGTTTGCCTTCTTTTTCTCGCTTCCTACATATTCCTTGCATTGACAATCGATATCTATTTTTACCCCTTTGCGTCCTGAACATTTTACAATACAATTGCTCCTTCTCTCTATATGCGATCTGAAATTACATCAGAGGTCTTGTTCAAGCTTAACATACACTCTATATGAAATTAAACACAACCAACACAACACACTCATTGCTCTCATATATCTCTATTTTATGCAATTTTAGTATTGTGCTTCAACAAGAGAATCAAGAGTTTGAGCTTGAAATGAAAGAAGAGCACATCTAGATCCAATTCCAAATGAATTGGCAAAACATGTTAATAAAGTAAGAACTCAAAAATAGATAGAAATTCTACATCCGTAAGCGATAATGAAAGAGAGGGATCAATGAGTACCTACTAAAAGAGACATTCTTGACCATAATTTTTCCACCTTCATCTTCAAAGGTCAACTTAGTGATGAGCTATAACAACATTACCCCAATGCCTCACAAGCTCTCATCCATAACGGGGTAAGGGGGTCGGATTTACGTACGGCAATCGAGTCAATTGTTTCGGTTTCGGTTCATATCTTTTGGATTCAGGGCTTTTCAGATATATGTTATTATCAGTTTGGATCAGTTCAGTTCCGTTCCAAGTTTAATTTGATTTAATTTTTTTTGGTTTCAGTTCAGTTAGCTTTTGGTTTCAGATAGATATCGGTTTGGGTTTACACCGGTTTAGGTTATCTCGGTTCAGGTTTATATCGGTTTGGGTTTATACCTATTTCGGATGAGATCCCTTGGTATTATGCTTCTTAATGTAAGCCTGGTGTGTAGCCTCCCCTCCTTATGTGTAAAGGGGGGTATGTATACAAGTGTCACCAATAATGGGCTAGTATATCCATCAATGTATATTACAATGTCACTATAAATTGTGTATACTCTGTATAGAAATAGACAACCACCTTAGTTTAAGTGATAAAATACGAAGTAAAAGATTTGTACATGAAAGCAGTTGTACCTATAATTCAAATATGCTTTTCTTATAAAGACATCAACTAATGAGCTATTAGGTTTGACTGGATTTGAGTTTAATTTGTTCCATATCGGGTCTAATCAGTTTTGGGTCTAATCGATTTCGGCTTTAACTGGTTCGGATTCAATCAGATTCAAATCCGAGTTGGGTCTAAATACATTCGGTTTGGTTTCGGTTCATTTTGGATCATTTTGGATGTTTGATCATATTTTGGTTCTTCAATTTTCGGGTCATTTCGAATTTGGTTCCAAGTTATTGGGTTCGGGTTATCGGGTCCGGGTCTCTTTTGCTAGGTTTACTGACCCCTATATTTGGAACATACACTGGTGGTTTCCAAATGACCTATGATGAGCGTTGAAGTTGCATTTACTAACTGTTATTTCACTACAAAAAGAAGCCCAGATAATTTAAAGAGCCATTTTGCTTTATTCCATAAGAGTGCGATGAATCTAAGCTAAAAAAATACTCTTGTCCCTAATTAATAGTTCTCATTTTCTTTTTGGGACGTCTAAAAAAGTCATCTTTCCACTTTTGGAAAAGGTTTTATGGCTCAAATTGCTTCTCTCCTCTATATCACTTTCAACCACATAGTTTCACTTTCTTAAACTCCATGCCGAACCAAATGTGGGCTATTAATTTGGGATGTAGGGAGTATAAAAGGTAGGACTAAGCTTAAAATAAACTAAGACTAAAACCTAGTGGTATCCAGAGAGAAAATTAACCAATTTGATGATGAGTTCTCTGGGTTCTTTTAAATTTGGTATTGTAAAATCAACATGCACACTATGCAACATGACCATAGCAGAAAACATGTGATTATACCAGAAAACCCAATATAAAGGGTGGAAAAATCAAAAACCAAGTTGAATATGGGAAATTGCACTGCATATTCTTGTATTAATCAAGATAAAAATGCCTTTAAGCTAAATACACACGAACTGGGGTTATGTATTTTTCGTCATTGATATTTTATTTGTATGCATCAATTGACTTGGCAACATGGCAGTTGGCACTCAAGTGCCTAAGATATTGCCTGTCAATCCTCATACTTTTTTTAAAATTCAATACAGAACTGTTACTTACCCAGATTTGACCTCCAGGATCATAGCAACGTTGCTACAGGAAAGAAGAAGCCAAAGACAAATTTTGTTGAAATTCGTACTTTCTGGCATCTCTATAGGAGTTTTGATCGCTTCTGGACATTCTTTATATTGGCTCTTCAGGTATAGTATACGCGTTTTGTTTGTATCTTGTGAATCAGTAGCTCTAAGATAAAATTGCCGTTTCCTTCACATACTAAGAGATGTTTGCTAACTGTTATTCCCTCTCCGATGACAACAACAAACCCAACATAATGTCATAATCCCAACTTCATTGGAATATGAGATCAAGAATCAAGATGTACACATCCTTACCTATGTAAAAACAAAGACTTTTTATTAGACCCTTGATGCATTTACTACCCAAAACATCACTGAAAATTAAAAGAAAATGAAGTTTGTGGTGCCATTTTTATTTACTTTATTACAACCTCCGTCCCGGAGTATATTGTTTTTTAATTAGATAAAATAATATTTTGAAAATATTTCATATAATTAATCTAACAAAACTATTTTTGTATCAATAGCTAATATCATTTTTATTTAATTTGAGGTTAAAGTTTGCCAATTTTGACTGAAAAAGTCAAAAGTTGTGGTTGCGGCATTCTGGGTGGTTGTTATGCCAATGAAATTTAGGACACAACTCAAAACTAAAACATGGTTGACAATGACTCTTTTAGCTCCATTCGCAGTGGGTGAAACCTTAATTCCCTTCCTCCATCCCAAAACAAAGTTCTTTTTTTAAGGATGTTTAAGAAACAGTGATATTGAGTGATTGAAATGTATGCAGAGGGGAGAGATATTATGAACCACTCGATGCTGTCCGCAAAAGGAATGACAACTGTATTTTGGTACTGAGAGTATTTTAGTAGAAGGTTATGTTAGTCCAACACTAGCGACACAAACCTGAAAAGCATGATATAAAAGATTTTTAAATGTACACGTGCTTGTGTAATATTTTTCTTTTTGTTGGACCTTAGTGGGTTGCTGTGGTATCTCAGATACACAAAACTGCAGATCATTAGGAAAAGTTTATTTAAAAGCATTATAAGTGTTTCCTTTTGCCATATGCTCAATTGCCTAATCATCCACTCAACTCCTCCACTCATCTCGGAGTAGATTTAATTTCCACTTTTATAGTCATGTTGCATGCACTGTCAATAACATTTCTTCTCCATATTTTTTGGGTTTCCAGGCAATGATTATTATTGCATGGAACCATTCCGGATCCATCTCTGACATTTTTGATGAGGACTTGTTCAAAAGCATTTTGAGCATTTTTATAACTGCTGCTATTCTGCATTTTGTGCGAGGTATTTACGACAATTTTTCTTGCTTTACGACAAGAACTGGAAAGACAATCTGCTTTCTTTCTCTTAGGATATACTAGTTTTAGTTTTTCCAATTTGGATGTTATATGTATCAGTGAGATTCTATTTATATCATTGCCAACATATTGCAGCTATTTTGGATATAATCCTTAGCCTTAATGCCTGGAGGAGCATGAGATTTATGCAGATACTTCGCTACCTTCTGAAACTTGTGGTTGCAGCATTCTGGGTGGTTGTTATGCCAATTACATATTCTAAATCTATTCAGGATCCCACAGGGGTTGTCCGGTTTTTCAGTAATTTGGGAGGAGATATACCTAACCAATCATTATACTACTATTGTGTTGCAATATACTTGATGCCAAACATATTGGCTGCATTTATATTTATGTTCCCGTGTATGAGAAGATCTTTGGAAAAATCAAACTGGCGTATTATTGTGCTTCTAATGTGGTGGTCTCAGGTCAGTGCCGGCTCTTTTTGGTACTTGCCTACTTCATTGTAAAGTTGCTCCTTTCAATCTACGTAGTATTATTCTAATAATAGCTCCTTAATTCCAGCCGAAACTGTATGTTGGAAGAGGCATGCATGAAGATATGATTTCACTGTTTAAGTAAGAAACATACATATCAATTTCTACCTCTTGGCTTTCTTCCATACAAACTGTTGAAGCAGAGAATGGGTAGATGCAAGGGCCAAGGGGTTGACATGGGCTTGAAATTATATTTTTTCAAATAGCTTTAGGGTCTCTTTCATGTGGCATTTTCTGTTTACTTTTCAGGTACACATTTTTCTGGATCTTTCTGCTCATCACCAAGCTAGCATTTAGCTATTATGTGGAGGTATTTGTCTCCTGAAGTTATCATTGTGTGCACTGATTTGAATCGCTGCTTTTGGTGCTAGGGAGTAGATTTTTTGATCTCATTCTGTATTTTTCTTGGCCTCTTAAAACTTGTCTTCTTGGCTTTCCTTTAGGTGTGTTATTCTATGTCTCAAGCACTTGGTCATTTTTAATTTCCATTGAGTGCACGTAAACGAGGTATATACATGATATACACATAAAAATTTTATAGAAGCCTTAAGGTGTTCACTTAACTTGAACCCGCAAACTATTTCCCCATGAACGCCAAAAGTATTGCAGATTGTATTACATATTAATAAAATGTCTTCTCCAACAAAAGTTTTTTAAATTCCATGTAGAGTACAATGCCCTGCGTAGATAGATACACTAGGAGAGGGCAAAGAAAGTGAGCTTGCAAGATGTTCTGTTTGTATGCTGATTAGGAGCTTGTTGATTGTGTGCCATAGGTCCTCTATAAATGGGAGCCAAAAAATAAAGCTTCCTTGCTATGCGAAGATCCAACCTAGGAAGGGGCCCGCCATAAGAGTGTGACGTAGGTAGACCTTAATTTGCAGTTTTGCTAGAGATTGCTTATAGGGCTCAAACCTTAATCTTAAGGTTACACAACAATACTTCAACCGGTGTACCAAGGCCCCCTTCAAAACTCAGAGATCTGTACCTCTAGATCCGGACATACCCTGTTGCACTTGACCATGTGTCATTACCAATTTGGATCCCAAAAGGTGGTGCACCTCACATTGGAATTCCCACCTTGGGGACCCAAACTTCGAAGATGATGTTATGAGTAAAACCACTGTGGACTGAAATAAGGACCTCATGGACTTGAATTGGTCCTGTAGCATGGCATAAGCTGATTAATATGGCGCCAAAAGAGACTTTTGCACTTCCTTCAATCTCTGGCTCAAAATCTTCCTCCAGGGGATGTGTCGCTGTGTCGTCTTCCTCATCGACTTCCATTGATGAGGAATTCCAGAAAAGCTAGAATTCAGGTCTGTTATTCATACATTGTTTCTCTACGCATGGCCTATCTCTAATCCCATTAAAAAGGAATGTATACGAGAGAAGTCTCCAAACCTGCATTCTAATGGATGGTTTCCACCTATATCTCAAGTAAAATAGCTTGGAAGTTGTCTACTAAATAACTTACATAATCAAAACAGTAAGCAATCAGTATTTGGAGTAACAAATAGATAATCACAAAAATAGCCACTAGTCCCTAGAATTTCTCTTGATTTTTGCCTTCTTCATGAATATGTCTCGTGAAAACTCTTGTTGGGCATTGATTAAATTATTAAATAAGACAAAAAGGAAGGTCATTTGAGTCAGTTTAGGGAGTAACTACTATTTAGTTACTGGGAAAAACATAGGGCGTTGATTGTGGAAGAGTCTGTTTATAGGTGTGTAGTATTTAGCGATTGTAAATACAGAGAGTTTTTTTTGTATTATATTCTAAAATGGTGAAGACATGATTTTTCACTCAAAAGTCTCTTCTTGTGTGTGTTTATTTTTCATGTTCTTGATATTTTTGGAGTTTTACATGCCTAAAATCCCTACAATTTGTATCGAAACCAAGTTACATTTGGAACGGAAGGATTTGTCAGCAGTAAGAGAAGAAAAAAAGAAGAATTTAAAAAATGGCATCGGTAAAAAGTTCAAATGTTTTTGTTAAACCTTTCGATGGACAGGGCGATTTTACTCTGTGGCAACGAGTAAAAAGTTTTCTTGCTCGAGAAGAATTACAAACGAGAAAAATGACAAACAAGAAAAATTGTTGGATGAAGAGTGGGAGGATTTGAAGGACATGACAACGAGTACAATTTGTCTATGCCTTGCAAATTAAACTCTTCGGTAGGTTCTTGGTTTGAGAGCTTCAGATGACATTTGAGACAAGCTGAAGAGTCGGTACAAGTTAAATCGTTGACAAGTTGGCTATACTTGAAGAAACAATTGTTTGGTCTCCAACATGGTTATCAAGGCGACAAGTCAAGTCGAGTTGGTGAAGAGGAAACTAGTGGACTAGTCGGCCTACTAGTCGTAGACTAGTCGACAAATCACAATTAGTATTGAATTTTTTTACATTATACGGAGTATATATCTTCATTTACCAAAGATAACTATATATTTATATGGTGAAATATCACTACCAAAACAAAATTATCTTTGAAGGTAGCACATAAACTCGCATAACGATGGGTTATGGGTACATAAGAAACAAATACACTTCAATCTTCAAAAACAACACGCCAACAAAGATAACAAGCACAAAAAGAACATATTAGAATATTTAATTTCATGTTTTGGGTCATCAAATATCATCCTCCAGCATGTAATGCCACCATGATGATGGGCTTAGGGGATGAGAGAGAGACGTGAGGAAGGGTAAGCGACTCTCGCGATGTGCTCAGAGCTTGAGCAAAGCCTTTTATTTATTAAAATTTAATGAAATATGGGACATGTCTTGACTCAAATTGGGTAAAGTTTCAAGATGGCAAATGGTGCGTGGAGCAATTAGGGTTTGCATGTGTGATGGAGCTTGCGAGAACATTGACCGGGGTAAGACATCTACCGGGTTTTAAAGGAAATTTTATTTCTTTGGGGAGTTTAGATTTGTAAGGCTGACATTGTTTTGCTCAAGGTGGTGTTAAAAATTTCCAAGGGGCAATGGTGGAAGAAAAAAGAAATATGTCAAATGGTTTGCATAAACTTGTAGAAAAAGTTTTAACAATTGAGATTTGAAGCTTCTCCGGTTGGTGCATGCGGTGACCTCACCGGAACGAGCGATGTGGATCCGGGCCTAGTTTTGATTTGTTAGTCAAGATGGAGTTCGTTGAGTATTGAATATTGATTAAATATTAAGAAGAAAAAGGAAGAAAAAAATGCATGCTTGAGGTGATAGACATATCAATGTACGAGAGTACGCATTTGGAGGGGAGGCAACATTAGTTGGGTTCTTTATTAGATTTCCCTTTGGAATGGTCAGCCACACTAATTCTTTCTCTCCTTTGATTGGTCCTTTATAAGGGTGGTGTGTGTGACTATGAATTGTATGAGAGTGAATAACACACGACATAAAAAGAGAGAAGTTTCTACACAAGTCATCACACCACAGAGTGAGTGTAGGGACTAACTAGTATTTAGTCACTCGGAAAAATACATCCGTTATCCGTGCATAGGGTGTGGAAAGGTCTATATGTGCATCTAGTGCTTGTAAACAAGGAGATTTTTTTGTATATTGTTCTAAAATAGTGCATACATATTTTTTCTCAAAAATGTCTTCTTGTCTGTGTCTATTTATTTTTCGCATTCTTGATATTTTCAACGTTTTACGTGCTTAAGATCCCAACATTTGTTCTTATCAGAATTCTAGCCAAAAAGGTCAGATTAATAGGATTAACTCAAGACTGTATGTGTTTGTATGTTCTATATTTGTTTGAAGTGTGATCATTCCCTTCACTGCCCTTTTTCTATTTCTAGCTCTTGCTAGAAAAACCGTTTATCTATTGCTAGCCTACATGAAAAGAGTTTCGGAAATTTTGCACTTGATGTCCATTGAGTGTGTCCATGGAAAAAACCATTTTACTATTTGTAGCCTACTCCTTTTTTAAATGTTCTTTTTCTATTTTTGACCGGCAGATTCTGCCATTAGTTCAACCTACAAAGACCATCATGGATATCAGAGTGACTAACTACGAATGGCATGAGTTCTTCCCTAACAGTATGTGTTACATTCGCTCGCAGCATCTTTATGGCTTGCACTTACATGATCACTCTAAGTTAAATTTACATGTGATGCAGTGTCAAATAATATTGGGGTGGTGATTGCAGTTTGGAGTCCAATTGTTCTGGTATGTTGTGAAATAGAAAATAAAATTGGAGCAGTAACTAAATTCTATATGCTAAGAAATGAACTTGTGTAGGTCTATTTCTTGGATGCACAAATATGGTATGCTATATTTTATACAATTGTTGGAGGGATCACTGGAGCATTTAGTCACCTTGGTGAGGTAATTGTTTCTTCTTATTGAAGTGGTAGAACTTTATTGGATAGCAGGATATGTAAATATCTTTTACATTTTCAGTATTATGAAATTGCAATATATAATTCATTGACTTAATAATTTTTCTTTCTAGTAGATTAGAACACTTGGGATGCTAAGGTCTAGATTTGTATCTATTCCATTAGCTTTCAGAGAACGCTTTCTACCTTATAAGAAAGAGGAGCCCAGACAAATAAATGAAGTATATCAATCTTTCCCTGTCTTTTAAATATATGTGATATCAGTTAATATTTCGGTCTAACCCAACTTTTCTTTTTAATAACTATGTACACCTTTTTTTGATTTATCATTTCTGTTTAGGATGCTTTGTTGGAACGAAAGAACATCGCAAAGTTCTCCCAAATGTGGAATGAGTTCATAGTATCATTGCGGATGGAGGACTTGATCAACAATAGGTTGCAAACTTGCTGTTGCTGCCTTACAGTTGTTTTTCTTATGCATTAAATTTGATTGGACAAATTTCTTGGAGACAAAATTTCACGTTAAGTACCTATTCCATCCCCAGGCATGAAATACAATCGAGTTAATGTAATTCTTGTTGGCACCATTTCCCAGGGAAAGGGATCTCCTTCTTGTGCCATATTCTTCAAGTGAGATTAGTGTCATCCAATGGCCTCCGTTCTTGCTTGCTAGTAAGGTAAAAACGTTATTGCTTTATCAGTTTGAAACTAATGCAGATTGTGTTTGACTTGATACTGTTTTTTTATTCTCATTAGATCCCAATAGCACTAGACATGGCAAAAGATTTTAAGGGGAAGGAAGATGCTGAACTGTTCAGGAAGATTAATAGCGATGAGTTTATGTCTTCAGCTGTGACTGAATGCTATGAAACACTCAAGTATTTATTGACTGAAGTACCGGTATCTCAAGATGAGAAGATGTAAGGCAATTTTCAATTATTATTGAATTAAATTCTGCAATCCACTGCATCAAAAAAATAACTGTAATGCCGAAGAGAAGAATATATCCTTTGACTTCCAATTTAACAAGCAATTTAGTAATATCTCGTTTCAATCTGTATGGCTGCTCTTTACACTTCTACAGGATCATTAAGAAGAGATTTGAAGAAGTAGATCGCAGCATAGCAAACAAGACTTTCCATAAATTCAAGTTGAATGGATTGCCAGTACTGAACGATAAATTGGGGATGTTTTTTGGTGTTGTGGTTAGTAGTCTCTCAATCCAGTGTCCAAGTTCTGCTTTTATTATTTGAATTCAATTTTCAGCAAAATATATCTTGAAAGTGTGCCAGTATTGTTCATCCAGGTGACATAAACTGTTCTCATTGTGCAGTTAACTAATTATGAATCCGAAGAAGAGAAAAGGTTACATCTGATAAACCTCCTCCAAGACGCTGAGGACATTTTCACTGAGGATGTGATGAATAAGGACGAGTGAGATCTTGAGATAACTCATTTGTATATCGCATATATTTATCGAAGTGAGAATTATTGTTTAATGGATATATAATTTAAGAAAAGCTTACAAATACCTCTGATTTGTAGGAACAAGAAAAAAGCCCCAAAAGAGGGAAAATTTCACAATATAAACATGTCAAAACTTACAACATCTTGGAGGGAAAAGGTAACATGGCTTCTAACTTCTTGCGAACTTTCTTTCTTTACCTTGCTTCCCTTATGTAAATGCTCTTTATCTCCTGGTTTGCTCCTTGGCAGGTTGTGAGACTCCATTTGCTATTGACAGTGAAGGAATCAGCAATAAATGTACCAATGAATTTAGAAGCACGTCGAAGGATCACTTTTTTTGCAAATTCTTTATTTATGAAAATGCCATCTGCTCCAGAAGTTCGTAAGATGTTATCGTTCAGGTTCATATCTAATTCAAAGAATAAGGGGGGCATTTGAATACCTAAGTTTATCTTTGTTGTTGTTTCTTTAGGCTGGAGTGGGAATAGTAATAGAGTGAAATGTTTAATGTTAATGTCATATTGCAGTTTAAATATTCTAAAGAGATTTTAATCATTTATTTTATTTATTAAAAAACTATATTTGTCATTTTCCATCTTTTGTGACTGCATTCTTTGTTATTTAGTGTAGTCAGATTAGAACACTTCTAATTTGCTGATTTTGTATGAATTGTTATTCTTTATTTCTCCTTCCACTTAACTGTTAAGCGTGATGTATTTTTCACACCCCTTTAAATTGAATTTTAAAGCTTCCAAAGCATTTTCACCTATAAATTTAATTTAGAGGTAATTTATTACCCATAATTTACTGGGCTGTCATATAGGTAATTTAAAAACATGTCACTTTAAGGAAACTAGACAATTGCACTTACTCCGTACATTGTTTGGTTTTATTACTGGGTCTGGTTGTTGTTTTGTCTCTTACTTATTTCAACATGTCTGTATGTTGGAGTATGATAATGAGCTTAAATGTTCTGCATCTTTCAGTGTTCTAACTCCATATTACAAGGAGGAAGTTATGTATTCTGAGGAAGAACTTAACAAGGAAAATGAAGATGGGATATCTACTCTCTTTTACCTTCAGAAAATCTATCCAGGTGAGTTCTAAACCTGCATAGTGGATTTTCTTTTTCAACCCACTCCTCGCAGCTAGTTGAAATTTAGGTTGTCACATTGAAGCTTCCCTAACTCTTTAAATATTATTTTTGTACCATTGTAGATGAATGGAAGAACTTTCAGGACCGCATTGCCGAACTTAAGCCTGATGACAAGAAAAGGATTGAACTCACTCGGCAGTGGGTGTCTTACAGGGGCCAGACACTCGCAAGAACTGGTTTGACTTGCATTACTATTTAATATTGAGACCTCTTTCATGTTTGTGCAATCATTCATTGAATGTGCCATTTTTTATATGTTTCTTTGGGATGTTCAGTAAGAGGAATGATGTACTACAAGAAAGCCATTGAGCTTCAGTACTTCCTTGAACATGCGAATGATAAAGGTTTGACTTTTTTTTACATCTACTGTTGTAACTTATGAATCAATGCTATTAACCTGTTAGTTCTGCTTTCACAAAAAATCTGTCCTGGTTGACAATAAGGATCTATGTTTAACCGATAATTTTGTTCTTGGCAGAAATATTTGGGGGCTATCGTAGTAACACGGATACAGATAAGCCTGAGTTCAGATCTAATGAAATAGAACAAGCATGGGCAGATTTGAAGTTCACCTATATTGTCTCATGTCAGCTTTATGGTGCTCAGAAGAAATCCCAGGATAAAAAAGAGCACAGTTGTTACCTCAATATTCTTAATCTCATGTCGGAGTGAGTTGCATTTTCTCAGAAATCTCACCATTTTATAAATATGAATTACAGAGTATAACTTTTTTGAATTGCTGATTAATTTTGTAGTCTTGCCATAACAGGTATCCGTCTTTGCGTGTTGCTTATATAGATGAAAGAGAGGAGACAGACGATGATGGTAACACCGAGAAAATTTATTACTCTGTTCTTGTCAAAGGACAGGAAGGAGTAGATAAGTTGGATGAGGTATGAGTTCTCACTTCTCAGTGACGTGATCTGGCATAATGTTCTACTAGAACTGTTTTTTAGTAGAACTCTTGCTTCTGGATGATATATTAATTTCCATAGCTTTTAACAATTCTTACATAATGCAAAATTAGGAAATATATCGAATCAGGCTTCCTGGTCCCCCAGCAGAAATTGGTGAAGGAAAACCAGAAAATCAAAATCATGCCATTATTTTCACTCGTGGAGAAGCACTGCAGACCATAGACATGAATCAGGTTTGGGTAGCTTTTTTCTTTCCCTGAACAAAATTTATCTAGAGGTCTTGAAGCTTCTGCGTTTCCAGGATAATTATTATGAAGAAGCATTCAAAATGAGAAATGTGCTCGAGGAGTTCAAGAAAAGTCATCATGGGCAACGTCGGCCAACAATTTTAGGATTAAGGGAGCACATTTTTACCGGGAGGTTTGCATCTGAATTGATATTAATTAGAGTTCGAGTTATTCAAACCTAATTTTGAGTACTCACCTTTTTCAATGAATTCTAGTGTCTCTTCACTTGCCTGGTTCATGTCCAACCAGGAGACTAGCTTTGTAACTATTGGACAAAGAGTTATGGCAAGCCCTTTAAGGTCAGGAGTTCTCTTTCTATTTTTCTCTCTTGCTCTCTCTCCCAATTTTTGTAGTTATTTTACCTGGTACATATGACAGATGATGAGGCCATTCATCATCAGTATATCTCTCCTCTTTTTTTCCTAAATGTATTAGGTTTAATTTTAAATGTGTTATAATTTAATGAAAATTAAAGATTATGGAAAGAGCTATCTGACTTTGTTTCACAGGGTGAGATTCCACTATGGTCATCCAGATATATTTGACAGAATATTTCATATTACAAGAGGGGGCATAAGCAAAGCCTCAAAAACTATTAACTTGAGTGAAGATATATTCTCAGGTAAAATCCTTTGCATGGATTGCAGTTTAGCAAACACCGTTCAGTCTAATATTGGGTCACTCTTCAGGTTACAATTCAACATTACGAGGAGGATATGTGACACATCATGAATACATTCAAGTGGGAAAAGGGCGTGATGTGGGGATGAATCAGATATCTCTCTTTGAGGCAAAGGTTGCAAATGGAAATGGTGAACAGACGCTTAGCCGTGATGTGTACAGGCTTGGACGTCGTTTTGACTTCTATAGGATGTTATCATTCTACTTCACCACCATTGGTTTCTATTTTAGTAGCATGGTACATAAGATGGTTACTACAAGTATTACTCATTCTTGTGGTTGTCACAAAATTATGGAATCCATTCAAGTGATTATTACTCAAATCTGCTTTTCTAGGTCACCGTGATTACTGTTTACGTCTTTCTGTATGGCCGTCTGTATATGGTCTTGAGTGGATTGGAAAAGCGGATTCTGGAGGATCCATCTGTTCGTGAGAGTAAAGCTCTGGAAGAGGCTTTGGCAACCCAGTCTGTGTTTCAGCTGGGATTGTTGCTTGTATTTCCTATGGTCATGGAAATTGGCCTCGAGAGAGGATTTCTTACTGCCATAGGTGATTTCGTTCTAATGCAATTGCAGCTTGCTCCTGTTTTCTTCACATTCCAGCTCGGAACAAAAGCACATTACTATGGCAGAACTCTTTTGCATGGAGGTTCTAAGTACCGTGCTACTGGTCGTGGTTTTGTTGTTTTCCATGCCAAGTATGCCGATAACTACAGATTGTACTCCCGCAGTCACTTTGTGAAGGGGCTTGAGCTGTTGATATTGTTAGTTGTTTACGAAGTCTATGGGGAATCTTACAGGAGTTCTAAACTGTACTGGTTTGTAACTATATCAATGTGGTTTTTAGTTGGGTCATGGTTGTCTGCTCCTTTTGTGTTCAACCCATCTGGGTACGATTGGCAGAAAACAGTTGATGATTGGACAGACTGGAAGAGGTGGATGGGAAATCGTGGTGGCATTGGGATTCCTGCCGATAAAAGTTGGGAATCTTGGTGGAGTGAAGAACAAGAGCATCTGAAAAACACAAGCATAAGGGGTAGGCTGTTTGAGATCATCCTTTCACTTCGGTTTTTCATTTATCAGTATGGAGTTGTGTACCACCTTGATATAGCTCATGGAAGCAGGAGTTTACTGGTAATGATCGAGCAATTCTTTTTCTTCGAAATACATTTCTCTGTATGAATGTCAATCTTTTTCTTCTTCTTTCTGTGAACATTCATTATCTCATTCATGACAGGTATATGGACTTTCTTGGTTTGTTATGGTCACTGTTCTTCTTGTCTTGAAGGTACGCTCACAGAACATTGTTATATAATCCTCCAGCATTGCATTGTGGTTTAGCCATGCTCTCAATCCCCTAAACCTTTTTTTAAAAAATAAGTTTTCTGTTTTCAGCTTTGTGGAGAATATTCTTAAAAGTAGAATCTAGAAGAATGATAGTTGGAAAAGTGACTTCCCTCACAATCACGTGCTAGGCTAGACATTTCATCTGTATTTTCATCTTGTGTGAGTCATTAGGTTAACCGTAGCGCTCCATCTCTCAAATTAGCAGCCACTCAACGCCACATTAGCGCTGACAGCACTCATCATCTCACTCCACACCTATAGTGCCTCACATTCGTTGTAATGATTACACAATTATTTTTTAAATATTTACCTATTTCTATTCAAATTAAATTTTATCTGTTATAAAAAATAATATTAAATAATTGAATTTTTTTTGGTTTATTCTATTTTTATTTCGTTATTAAATTTTTTACCGGTTGTTGTACATTTCTCTATTACGGATTTGGGCGCGTCTTACAATTTGTTCATCATCAGTGACCTCTCCAACATTGTTATCACCCCGCTCGTAGCCTGCACAGATAGTTCACCCCTTGTCTTCTAAAATCATATTATGTAAAATAATACGCGTGTAAATGGCGTTTAATAATTTTTCTTTCTTCCACATTCTTGCGAGATTACCCATAAGTTGCCACCTTTTCTTTAGTACACCGAAGGCGCGTTCGATATCTTATTAGCAGACTCTTGAGCTTTCTTTAAAACACATATTTCACATCGTCCTTGCATGAACAAGTAAACGACTTCACCATTGTAGCCCACTCCGGGTAGATGCCATCAACTAGATTATAACCAAAATTATACTCAGTATCGTTGGCAATAAAAGATGACATAGCTGCAACTCCATTGACGATATCGTTAAAACTGGGGACTAATCAAGAATATTTAAATCATTACTTGATCTGCAAACTCTGAAGGAAGCATGTCATATCCAAAGATCATTTGACGCTACTGCTTCAAGCATGAACGTCGGGTGACTATGGTCACCCTGGTGATATTGACCCTCTTTCGTTGGGCAGGTCGCCCACTCCCAGTGCATACAGTCAATTCTACCAAGCATTCTTGGAAATCCATGCACTTCCTCATGAACGTCGTATATTTTTTGAATGTCATTCCATGATGGTTTTTCGCAAATATTTATAACCGTATAGTGCCATGAATATAATGGAAATTTAAATTCTACACTGTATATTTGGAAAAAATTAAATTTTTACAATTTAATATAAGTTCACATAACTTTGCAAAATTCGTAAAGTGTATCTTGACTTGTTTTTTCAGACATCTTTAGATATTCATCTCAAGAATCACAACTTGTACTGTAAGTGAACTGCTGAATTGCAGAGGTAGACTTTTGCAAATGCGTAAATCCAAGTTTACTTTCTTCCATCATAACGTTTTTGGGAGTATTGAAAATGCGCTTGCAAGTCATCGGAAATTCTAGAAACAAGAGGTCGGCTCATCCGGTAGCGCTAAGCAAATGTCAAGTCGTGCCTTGGCTCAGCAAAAAAATAATCTTCTATGAAACGCTGGTTTGCGGCCGCACGATCTCGATTGATTTGGATTCATTTTCTAACAACCCTTTCGTTTCCGTCATCACTAAACGAATCAGAAGAAAGAGAGTACAATTTATTAATCTTTTGAGTTTATTTTAAATAAATGAGATATAAAGAAACAACAAGAGAATGTGTTTTAAAATATATAAAGATTGGATTGTTTAAATTGAAGAGAGTGTAGGGCGTTTGAAATTTAAAATTTGAAATTTGAATTTTTAAAATAATTTTTTATGCCATTCAACCGTTGGGGAGAGGGGGAAAAAAGAAACAGAAAATGTCAGGAAGGAGCACCGTGACCGTGGCCATAGCCTGGCTCACACTGTGCGAATCACGCGGGGAGGGCTGTGTTCCGCATGGTCACGTGAGGACGTCGCAACGCCACGGCGGACCACGGGAAAACGGGGGTGGGGCATTATGCCCAGCCTTAGATTAACTTAGGAGTAGTGTTAGCCCTATAATCACTTTGTAATCCTTCTTAATTTTAATAGTGAAATTTATTTCTTAAATACTTCACATGTTTTTAACAGATGGTGTCAATGGGAAGACGAAGATTTGGCACCGACTTTCAGCTAATGTTCAGAATTTTGAAGGCACTACTTTTCTTTGGTTTTGCATCGGTCATGACGGTGCTTTTTGTGGTCTGTGGCCTCACCCTGGGTGATCTATTTGCAGCTCTTCTGGCCTTCTTGCCCACAGGCTGGGGTCTTCTTCTTGTAAGTTCCATATTTGCTTACAGTATAACCTCTATTAATTAAAATATAGCCTTGGGGCCAGAAAATTTTATTTATTTAGCACAATATTAAATCATTGATAAATTAATAGATTATTATCTTATTGAAATATATGATTATATCACTCTCAACTTATATTGTACTCCCTCTATCCCAATTTAAACTTCCTATTATTCACTTTTTCCCTAGAGTTTAAGGAAAATTGAAATTGTTTGGTTGAGATTTATGTAGAGAAGAAAGAATTAATGCGGACCATCCAATCCATTCCTTAAAAGGAATAGGAAGTTTATTTTGGAACAACCGGAAAAGGAAAGTGAGAAGTTTATTTTGAGACATTAAGAGTTTATTATTTCCTTGATCAGTTTCAAAAGTCATTGTCATATTAACTTGTGCTAGAATGTAATGTTAGTTATACACTCATACTCCCTCCGTCCCTAAATATTCACAACATTTGCTTTTTCAGCAGTGTCGGGAACTTTCTTTTGTTTCGACGTTTTCATTGATTATTTGAGAAAATAAAATATTCTTGACACCTCTTATTTTGAAGAACTTTTCATGCAGTTTTTTTATATGTAAATTTTATTTTTTATTTCTTTATCAATATATAAATAAAATGAATTGAAAAAACTTGATATTTTACCTCGGAAATATAAATGTGGCAAATAATTTGGGACGGAGGGAGTAGTATTTAGTACATAAATGTAGTTTTATAATTGAATAGTAAGAACATGATGATGATGATGATTATAATTATTTATATTAAAGCATCTTTCACTCAAAGAACTGAAAGAGGTATTAAAAGTCATGACCGCACTAAAGAAATTATTCTTGCGTCATGAAAAACATTAAAAGAACATCTTGTGCCGTATAAATCATTTGGATGAAATTTAATTAGAACTGACATTCAACAGAAAAAGGAAGCTGCTATTAATTCTAAAAAACCATGTAAAATAATGTATTTTTAATACTCCATAGATTGTTAATTTATATAATTGACGAGACCTATATAAATATATAAAAGTGTTTTAAAAATCTACTCCGTATTATTTTATAAATGTAGCAAATTCATTAATTTAGTACACTGGCCAAAATTGGGACCAACCACTTCTATTAGTTAAGCACGATTATTAATTAATCGCGGATTAAAGTATCGGTTTTATACTTTATATGGTTAATGAATATGTGTTCCCCGACCCTAAGCTGCTCAGATCATGATTTTTAGTCCATTGATCTGACGTTTCCATCTGTTTACAGATAGGACAAGCCTGCAAGCCCTGTCTAAGACGTGTCGGAGTATGGGACTCGGTGATGGAGTTAGGAAGAGCATATGAGTGTCTCATGGGGCTTGTCATCTTCATGCCTACTGTCATATTATCTTGGTTTCCATTTGTTTCAGAATTCCAAACTAGGTTGCTCTTCAATCAAGCTTTCAGTAGAGGTCTCCAGATTTCCATGATTCTTGCAGGAAAGAAAAACCAGTAAAGCAGCCCGACAACAGATTCTTGCATAAGAACAACGACCTTCTCACGGCTATTACTGAGAGGATTATTGTGAACAACAACGTTGTTCCTCCTGCGCAGGACAATGAAATATTCTTGCAAGTTCTAGCTTAAGTTCGAGATTGATTCTTGGTAGATAGACTGATGTAATGTGTGTGCAATATAGTGAGTGACCATCCTTGCAAAGACTTGGGTAGAGATAAATAGGGAGGTAAATGTATTCCGGGTAGCCTTTAAGGCATGTGATCAACACTTTCCTATAAAGTTTTTATTTATCCTATAGTAATTGTTTGAGTAAATTCTATAATTAGTCCTTTATAATATGAGAGTTTCTCTATTTAGTCCTCTATTATCAAATATTACCCCAGTGGTCCTTCTTTTATGGATATCTTTCCATAAATAGTCCTTTTTTGATCTTCTATCATATTGGTGTTTATTTGAGGGCTAAAAGTATAATTTAACAATAATAATATATCTCTTTTGTCGTACACAATTCCAAAGGATGTTTCGTTTGCATCGTTTGTGAATTAGTCGCTTTCTACTACAAATATAGTTTACAAATGTGGTCTTTCGTCGTAATCTTAGCCTACAATCATAGTCATTATTTTTATATTATCCGTTTAACCAATATCAGAACACATCACTGCACATAATGTTGATGTCAAATTATACTTTTAGCCTTTAAATTAATACCAACATGGCAGAAGATCACAAAAAGGACCATTTGTGGAAAGGCACCTTTAAAAAAGGACTACAGGAGTAATATTTGATAATATGAGACTAAATATGGAAACCCCCTTCTTATAAAAGACCAATTATAGAATTTACTCTAATTGTTTTTATTAGAAGTGACAACAGTTTACAAAATAAAACTTGCACGACACAATGGAGATTGGCACACTGTCTTGTCCCTCTTCCATATGGTAGTGTATTTCTTTGTGAAGTAATTTAGACACCCAAATACTAATAGTGAAAATAAAAGTACTATGCATAACAAGATTGCAGTAGAGTAATTGTTTTTATTAGAAGTGACAAGTGAGAGTCGAAATCTACAAAGAGGGATTTGCTAATTTTAAGCTTAAAACATTTGGAAAACACACATTATGCATGGGTGTTCCGAAGCCACTCCTAGTATTACACTCGTCAAACCTATCAATGCGTTGTAAGTTTTACTCAGCCGTTTTGCTTATCCCACTTAGAAGTGTTGTTGGAGTGAACAGAAGCACATATGAGAGAAAAATGTTGGATCAAAAAATTACTTTTGGGAAGTACGCAGTAAATGCAACGATGCATTGCAATTGTATGACTTGACGGGGGGGAAAAAGTTATCGAAGGTAATTATAAATAACTTGATATGATCAAGCATTGCTGTTGCAAATTAAGTGATTTGTTGAATGAGGCAGTGTGGAATATGCACTGCTGTTATTCAGTGCAGAGGGAGGTTATACAAGGATTTCAGTTGCTGGCTTATCAGCCTGCTGTTATTCACTGCCATTTCGAGTTCCAAGTTGTCAGACCACCACTGCTCCAGTCCGTGTGCTTCTAGAAACTTCTGTTTCCCTTTCGTAGCCGGCAGGAACAGTCTGGCAGCAACTTGGGCACTCCTTTCCCTCGTCTTCTCTTCTGCTTCCCCCACTGAATCCATGTAATAGCAACATATATAGTCGCTGTGGTTTATGTACAGATGTGGCACCCATTGCTCCATCCCAACTCGCATAGCAGGAGCTTGAGCTTGATCATGAGGAGATTTGATGAGCTTTCTCCAGACCAACCAAGCTTTTTCTCTCATGTTCCTCAGATACATGGCCAGCGAAACCGATGGTGGGTTGAACAAATGTGCCTCTATGTATATTCCTTCTTTCGCCAATGCCTTCCCGACTTGAAGTGCAAACCCTGCCCCCAGCGAATGCCCAGCGATGCATACATTGTTTCTTCCATACTTCCCTGCAAGAGACTTCAGTGCTTTCTGAGCCACACTGAACCTGACAGATCCCTTTAGGCTCTCCCAGGCTAAGTAGCGTAGGTCGTCTTGGATGTCCCTTCTCATTGTAGGACTCTTGAGCAGTGTCCCTCTGAGTGCTAGAACGGCACTTGGTGCGCCGCTTGGCCTGATAAGAACAAGGTCGGTTAAAGCTGCTGCCCTGTCCCATTTCAGGACTGCCCCAAATATAGACCCATCCCTTTCGTCTCTTAGGGTCTCCACCAGTCTGTATTTGAAGGGTGACCACCATTTTGGAGCAAGGGCATTTTCTCCTTTCCTGTTTTCTTGCCTGTCTAGCTCAAGCAAGTACACGGCTTGTACAAAACAAGCCATTACTGTCCTTCTGTAGTTCCCATTCTTCCTGTTATATATAAATGCAATTTCAATGAGTTAACCAGCTTTTTTTTCTTATCACAAACCAATGAGCAACACAAATCAGATGCTCTTAAATTGAGGAATGGAATGAAGAATTTGTGCTTTTCACTCCTTCCATCCCATAAAAAGATCTTATTTTTGAACTTATTTGGGTCCTAAAAAAGCGTCATATGTGAACAAAATAAGCTCATCATTGTTATATGTAATGTTTTGTTCATATAAAAATAGTCACAAACAAATTAAATATTTAAATTTAGTTAAACCAACAAACAATTATTAAAATACACTCTTTTTGTTTGGATTTAGTTATCCATTTTTCATTTCGAAGCGTGAAGCGTCCTAAATTACTTGTCCAACTATCATACCAGTAGTATTTACTAAACACATTATTTAGAGTGATCAAAATTACCTTCTAAAGAACATGTTAGCATTGCTCTCAGCAATGAGAGACAAGTTGTTTTGAGTAGTGTTTAACCTCATTCCATGAATTTAAGTTTTTTTGGATAGTAGTTTAAAAAATATTGACAATTAAATCTAGACGGAGAGGAGTAACTGCACAAATAATCAATGATTTTTAGTAGTTGTGTCATACTAAGGTTTAAAAGCAATACTTTATTGAAACAAGACTTCTTTTATAGAATGGAATGAGTATGCAAAGTGCTCCAAATAGTACTCCGAAACCTGTGAAGGACGAAATCATATATATCAAAACTCAGTGAGTTAGATCCACTGAGCAAATGGAATGTAAAGCGGGAAAAAGCCCTTTCAAATTCACTAACTCGGAGTGGATTGGAACCACTCGAGACTCGAGAGCCCAACCAATCCAAGAATGCCCTAACTCGATTTTCCTTCTCATAGACACATACACCCACACAAGAAAAAGGGGTTGGGAACAAGGGTCATGCTCTACTATAACACCAAGGAAAACACCAAATTGATATCACTAGCTAGTGTCTCATACACGATCATTTATGTAAAATAATAGCCATGATGATGGCGTCCACCTTGGTACCAAACATGGTGTTATTCTAGCTAGCATGTTTTGTTTAAATAATGGTTAGAAAATAGACATGGATATAAAATGGAAAGGTGAGAGTGCACACACACCAACTGGAGTTGATGAGGTCTCTCCAATTGGGAGAAGAAACACTTCGCGGTCCAGATGCTTGGAATGCATCTGGGTGAGACTCCCGATCCTTCTTCTCCATATCACCACTCATGGATCCATTGTATCTATTTACACAGATATGTATGTATTCAATGGGAAATTAAATATTCAAAAAGGTTTGATTTCTCTCCAAACGTGAAAGAATAATATATATACGAGGGAGAAATCATAAAGGAGGGACGACTGACTGGTTTATGTGCTCTGGTTTCCTTTTGATTCGTTTTTTTCTTTCATTTTCCTCATGGAATCTGATCCTTGAGCTGGCGTTGGATTTCAATGGCTCCCTGTGGCATTTTCAGTGCTTCGAAGCTGGAAGCCAGCCTAGAGATATGATGAGCTTTTTTTGTTTTGGCCTGAGCGATTCTCAGCCGCAGGCGGCCCAGATTCCGATCAGAATTTGGGATAATGTGCAAAACACTACTGTAAATTCGGATTCCGAAACAGCTCTTCCGTTCCCTGACTTCCGTCTCATACTTCCAACCACAAAACGTTCGCCCAACCCATA